TGAAACCTTTATCGGAGGCAAAAATAAGAATAGGCACTGAAATAAGAAAGTCTCTAATTCACAAGGCAGAAGTTGTAAAGATAAAATACCAGTTTGGGGAGGAATTGACAAGAGTAGTGGTATTTTAATTACCGAGGTGGTTCCTAATACTCAACAAGAAACTATTGAGCCAATAATTAGAAAGCATATTAAAGAGGGAAGCACAATTAATACTGATGAATGAAAAGCCTACAATGATTTATGTAAGTGGTTCAATCACCAAAAGGTTAATCATGGAATTAAACAATATGTCAATGGAGAAATCACTACCAATTCGATAGAAAGTGCTTGGGCTTGTTTGAAAAGGAGTATTTATGGTATTTATCACCAAGTAAGTAAAGAGCATTTGCCTAAATATGTTAATGAATTTACTTTTAGATTTAATACTCGAAAATATAAAGTTCAAGAAGCATTTGATTTAACACTTTTTTCAAGTGTAGGTAAAAGTTTGAGTTATGGAGAGTTAATTTCTTCTTTTTAATTCTTTTTTAAGTTCCTAAACCCTTGTAATTTCTCTAATTCTTTAACTTCTGATAAAGTTCATAAAAAGGTTTCTACATCCTTGGTCAATTTTCTATGTTCTTCACCATGGTTGTAGCCGAAAAAAAGGTTGAAATTAGCCAATAAACAATGAGACAACTCGTGGGCTATAGTATTAATCAGTTTACGAAATCCAAAGTGCTTTTCAAAATCAGGAACATCAGTTTTTATCCCCGTTAGATAATATGCAAATAAGATATTAAGGTGAATTTCTTTGGTGTAAATTTCCAAATCACCAACTTTTTCTAGTCCTAATAAAGTTCGTCCATACCAGTTATAACTTAATCGAAACCCATCAAACTTAATAATAGTAGAACGAAGAGGATAAATATCTCCGTTCTCCTTAATTAACTTTTCTTGATAAATACGATAAGAAGCATTAATTAAATGTTCGAAATATTCCTCCATTCACTATTTAATGTCTTCCTCCATACAAACTACTTCTAAACGAAAACTACCTTTTTCTTTTGGCATTTTATCAGCCTTTTTTTTAGCACTTAATAATAATTCCCTTAGTTCTTTTTTAGTTAAACTCTTTATTCTTTTTTTATTTACCATACGAGTTAATTTTACTTTACTTTTCTTTTTTTAAATTTTTCATTTCTTCTAAACAATACCTACAAATCTTACCATCTTTGGTTTCGCCACCTAAATATTCTTCTTTATAAATTACTTCACATTTAATACAAGTAAACTTTTCTTCTTTTTTCTTACTTCCCCTCTCCTTTAAGTAATCCTCAGCCATATATTCTTGAGCCTTAGTAATTTTCTTACACGAAGAGCAATGACTACGAAAAAGATTTCATGTTCAAAACTTATTTCCGCAACGAGTGCAATGACTGTTGAGGTATTTACCAACTAGTATAATTGGATATAATCCCAAACTCAAAAGAATAAACTCTAGCATATTACTTTTGGACTAATTTATAGGAATTATACCTATTAAATACTGGTTTTTTATTGGAAGGGTTAGATTTTGCTCTCTCTCTCTCTCTCTCTCTCTCTCTCTATGGATGTATTTTCTGTATTTCTTTTCATAACTTTCATATAACTATATTTTAGAAAATATTAACTTATAGTTGTTATAACTGTAAAGCAAATTTATTTAATAAAAATAAGTATATAAGTAAAGTTATCATGACTAGAAAACTAATCCATTGTCCTAAGTGTGGTGAAAATTCTTTTATTAACTTAGATATTAAGGGGGAGACAAAGAACATAAAGAAAAAAGACTTTGACAAACTTTTAAGAGCAGTAGCTAGTGTGCCTCCACCTAAAAGTTGGAAAAAATAAAGAGGGGGTTATTTGGTGTAAAATTGTATATTAGTCCCAAATATTA